TGGGGGTAGTTTGGGGGTAGTTTGGAGGTAGTTGGGGGTAGCTGGAGGTAGTTGAAGGTAGTTTGGGGGTAGTTGGAGGTAGTTGAAGGTAGTTTGGGGGTAGTTTGGGGGTAGTTTGGAGGTAGTTGGGGGTAGCTGGAGGTAGTTGAAGGTAGTTTGGGGGTAGTTGGAGGTAGTTGAAGGTAGTTTGGGGGTAGTTTGGGGGTAGTTGGAGGTAGTTGGAGGTAGTTTGGAGGTAGTTGGAGGTAGTTTGGAGGTAGTTGGGGGTAGTTGGAGGTAGTTGGGTGTAGTTGGTGGTAGTTTGGGGATAGTTGGGGGTAGTTTGCGGGTAGTTGGAGGTAGCTGGAGGTAGTTGGGGGTAGTTTGGTTTAGTTGCTGAACTCACTGAGTTTGTCCAGAAAGGGACGCAGCCTGTCCTGGACTGCAGAGTCTTTCCTGGGGATCTGAGTCATGATGGAGCTGATGGCAGAGATGGACCTGTCCTCTCCGTAGTGCTCCATGATGGTTTGACACATCTCCTCTCTTKTCTTCGTGTCTCTCACACCTGAAGGGATTTTGGTGAGAAGCAGCAGCATCTTATGGTACTGGGAGGTTTCCAGCTCATCGATGATWCTGGTCAGAGCTGATTTCCACCTTTTCTTTGACATCTGAGACAAAAACACGAGTTCATCAGTTCATAGATCAWGTTCAGGATTATTTCCTGTTTCTGATGAAACCAGAACTGATACAGGTCCAACCTGCTTCACTTACATCCTTTAAAACTAAAGAAATGACAGGGCTGACCAATCAATCTGTCTTTTTAAGTTTTAAAATAAACTCTGCAGGTGAACATGTTCTGGATGACGTCACCATGGATCTTAAAAACAGCTGACCTCAGCATTAATATTCTTTGAACTCATCTGTACTTTCCTAACAAAACAACAGCTGGTTAAACATCTGTAAATAAATCTAATTAACGTGAATTCTTCCTCAAACTTACTGAGTTTCCTCTTTTACTCGACCCTGCACCCAGAACAGGTTTGTCTTCCGCGCTGCTGCAGGAGAACGTGCTGTGCGCATGCGCAGCACTGGAAAACCCCCACCTACGCGCTGTTAACCGGAACAGGAACTGCGCATGCGCAGGAAATCCCCTCCCGTCTAAAAACATATAAAACTTTACCCAGTGTTTAATCAGGACTACTCTTCTACAGACAAAACTGTGATAAGACATTTTTAAAAACAATTACCAGAAAACATTTCACTTCCCCTCTGAAAAAACGAAATTTACTAAAAGATTTTTCTTTTGATGTAAGATTAGATGCAACCATCGACCCCTAAAAACAAAGATTTTAAACAACATATACCATGTAAATTACACTTCAGACTAAAATTTAATATTCAGGCAAATGATTTCTGTCAATCTGATAAAGAAATTATACATTTATTTYTCTCTTCTCTTCAGTTTGTTGTTGGCCAATAATTTAAATATTCCAACTTTAATATAGAACAATATTAAATTTAACATTAATACTGCAGACACAAAATTTGATTTTATAATTAACCTGATCATTATGGCTAAATATTATTTGCACAAATGTGAAAACGGCCCCTAACCTCCTGGTGTAAACATTTAATCCACTCGTTCATTGATTGACTCAACAACTTGTCAGTTTATCAATAATTTACATATTAAACATGTTTATTAGTAACATCCTGCAGGAGGGAACCACCATCATCTGTAGTTCTTGAATGTGAGGAAACTGGAACTGGAAAGACCTTGATTTTGATGTTGACCAAGGTGGCAATCCTTACTGGGAACTCTGGTTTTATGAWTTGACTTTTTAACAACTTGACAAAAAATTTTCTTCAAGTCASTGAGTTTAAGTTTGTTTAATAAAAACAGAAGTTTTGACAGAAACATGATGTTCAGAAACAGCCTGAATCCCACTGAATATATTAATGCTTTAAAAGAAAAAGATGCAACACATCAGGTTAAAGAAAGGGGCGRGGTCCACCCTGGACTGGTCTCCAGTCCTTCACAGGGACACAGACACAAACATGTMGTTATCAGTTAACCTAACAGTCATGTTGTTGGTCTGTGCGAGGACACAAAACACACACATGCACTGTCTGAAACAGACAACATGGCTGGTTCTCTCTCGTTCCCACCTAGTACCTGAGGAGAGGAGGTGCCTCTGTAAGGTGCACATAAGGGAGGAGCCCGGGGGGTACAAACAGTTTAACAAAATAATACCACAGAAGAAGAAATAAGGAGGGGCTTCAATCACAAGGTCACATGTCCAACATTTACAGCGGTCTTCATTGTGTTTACAGCGGTTACACTTCAACCGTCTTAAAGGAACAATAACAAAATGAGCTGCTTGGAGTCACATCAGGTACCGTTAGAAAAGGAGGACTTCAGTCCGAAGCTGTAGTTCCACTTCATAAAGACCCAGCTGAAGGACTGAATGTGAAAAGGAAGGTTTTAAAAGCATTACTTGTCTACTTTAAGCTTTAGGATCTTGTTTCCTTGGATTTCAGCTGTTACAGAAAACTGTATTTTCTTCAGGACTGTGTCTTCGAAGTCGTCCTCCAGTTTKACTCCAAGAGCTTTGGCCAGGACAGGAGAATCCACGGTGAAGGTTTCAACCTCACCACTCACGTGAGCCTCCAGCTCAGTGCTGATCATCCCAGCTTTAATGATCCCAATGATCTCCATGGTGGTCCGCTGGACAGCAGCCTTCTGGACCTGAACATTAGATCAGGACAAGTTGAGGACCTGGACGTCTGTCAGTACATTCAACCCTCATGGCACCTTAAGGTACCAAACGTGTACATTCTGATAATTTGCTATTTTTAATTACAAATATATCAGTTCAAAGACTACTTTCATGAAACTTGGCCAGGATTTGTTGTTATAATTTAATAACTTCATTATTGTAAGATGTACAGAACAGGAGATCTGCACTGAGCATACACTCTACCCTACAATAGTCTAGTCAGCTAGTAATAAAAGTATTGTTTTCTCAAGGACAAGTCTGGTCCACACTGGCTTAAGTTTGACTATCTGTCTTAACTGAAAAAAGCCTTCTGCATAACAGCTGACTTACTTGTTAAACTTAGTATCAGAGTCTAAAACTATTCCCTGATCCACATCAGAGTGATGGAAATAACAACTGGATAGAACGGGCACTACAGTATTTCCAGGTTTTACAGGCCAGTAGATCTGACAGTCATCAGCATAACAATGAAAGGACAGACCATGTTCCCTTAGAACAGAGCCCAGAGGAAGCAGGTACAATGAAAACAGCAGTTGCTTCAGACCTTTATTACATAGKTTTCCTGGAGGCCTTGTTCTCTTTTATTGTCAAAAGGCACGTAGGTAAAAAATCTGAATGGTCCACAAATGTTTTTAATGTGTTGGTATTGATATAAAAGAATGAGCTTTGTTTATGTTTGGTTTCTTTGATCAACATTATGTAACATGTACATTAGGTACAGGTTTTTGATGTGGAGTAGTTTGTAGTCTTGTCTGAAGACATCCAGGAGGAGGAGCCTGACAGCAGAGGATACATCTAAATCAATGATATCAATTATTGGCCTAGACAAGTCTGTAAGTCTGTCCCTCAACTCAGGGCGTTGTGGGTCGGTGGGCAGAATACTTTGAAGACCTCAATTCCACCGACWCGTCTTCCCATGAGGAAGCAGAGCCTGAGGACCATGGGTCAGACCCTCCAATCTCTAGTGCCGAGGTCACTGAGGTGGTAGGGCACCGGGGGTGGATGAGATTCACCCAGAGTTCCTTAAGGCTCTGGATGTTGTGGGCTTGCTTTGGTTGATGCGATTCTACAATATCACTTGGACATCGGGGGCAGTTCCTCCTATTTAAAAAGGGGGACCGCAGAGTGTGTTCCAACTATAGGGGGATCACACTTCTGAGCCTCCCTGGTAAGGTC